AACAACAACCAAATACAAATAATATTGTACCAGTAAAAACATTCCATGTTTGTTACGTAGCTACCGCATAGCTCAACCCTCCTCTACGTGCCTCCTTCCTTTCCACCTCCTCCTCCCCTAGGCCTAGATAAGCCTTTAAATAAATTTAGAAGCACACCGCCTGCAAAGCAAACAAACAGAAAACCATCAGACTGAGCATGCGAGACACGCATACAAAGCAAAATAGCAGACCTGTGTCCTCAGAAATCTACATTTCATTAAATTTCTAGAAATTTAGCCATGTGGGTGGAATTACATGTTTTCCGATGTATCCAACCCTTTTTTTGTACAGTAGATATACCACCCCTGATTATGAACTTCAACAGAACATAAATATATATATAATATATTAGATCAAATGATATCATTATTGTTAAATAATTACTAATGCTTGAGATTCTGAAATCTTTTAAATCATCCGAATTGTTTGTTTAAAAAAAATATTTCAACGTTCGGATGACTCTTAGAGTGTGCGTTTTTATCATATTTTTTGATTCTCCATTTGGAGATGTTCGTTTGAAGGCACATTAATTGGAAACTAAAATCATATGAATTAATGTTGTTCTACCATCTTTCAGCTTTCAGTAAAATCAAAATATATGGACACTCGATCAATCAACTGGATTCATTCATGGTCATCATGTCCCATGATAATCATGATATAATACGATGCAACATATTGTTTTGATATGTTCTAACATCTGGTTATTTAACATAGCCATGGAAAATCACCATTTTTAATAGGTAAACCATCTATAAATGGGCCATTTTCCATGGCTATGTTAAATAACCAGAGGGTAACATTCTCATGCCAAAAAAAAACATCTATGATGAACTTTCATCGACTCCATGACAGGTGTTTACAGACACCTTCTGTTGCACCGGGACATGCACCGGGCGCGGGTTTCCTCATCTGGTCCTCACCTGGGCCGCTGGAAATCATAGGTAGCTTTCAGCACAACAGGTATCTTTCGATGCACAAAATATCAATGAACATCAATAAACCATAACAAACATTAATAAACTATTTTTAAACCATAATATACCAACCTGCAATCCAGGCTTTGCAGGTGGAGTTCTTTTGGAAAAGTGTGAGCTGTGCCTTACTCCAGATGTCCAAATTTCTTGCCCAGGGGCATGCGTCATGGTATAGCCAGACAAGCCAGTCGATGATTGCTGGCGCGGCAAAGAAGTCAGTCAAAAATTCACCACAATATACCACAATAATAACTGTTGCACTGTTGCAGTATCTTATTATAACTTACTGGGAAGATCTGGGAAGGTAGCATAGTCCTTTAGAGCCAAAGGGAAGCAAACCTGATGCATTCCCACAATCCAGGCGAAACACCAGAGAACAAAACAGAAGTTGGACTTCAGCCTTCACAAGGCGCAACAAAAAGAAAGGGAAGACATGGGAACACATCACGCACTAATGAAGCATTCCGACTGAACAATGCTGTAGATTGCTGTAGTATCACCAGATTGCCACTACTCACATCTAAAGGATCTAAAAGAATGGTCTGAGCAGCCATGTGGGCAGCCCGCCAAGCGCACCCGTGAGCGCGGTGTTTGCTTATCGTTCCGCCACGTTTCAATCCTCAGTGCTTTGCAAATACACAGGGCATTTAGCCACAAGCTTGATTGGAGACCTT